GAAAGTCCGACAAAACAGTCTGGTACATTCATGCTTTTTTTGAGTGTATAGCGAATATGACAACACACACACACACACACACACACACACACACACACACACACGCACACACACACCCCAACACACAGACTCGCTAGTCTCACATACAAACGTGCACATACACACAAACACACTTCTTTTTCCCCGCAAAATGTTATGCTGCAGCCTACTAGAGGATGTGATATGATCAACCCCCTACCATGGACTAATGGCAGAATGTTCCTGGCTATTAGTGGGGAGCGGCACCTGCTGGAAATGGGGCCCAGCAGCCTGTGAACATCGTGAATAAAGCACCATCCGGGACCCCACACACACATACTCCAGGGTGTTGTAGTATCAGGTGCACTTTGATCGCTGGAAGCCGTCAGCCATGACTGCCAGTCCCATTCCATCCTCACGCCGATACTCCTAGCGGATCTCCTATCCCCACTATCCTACCTCATTGGGACCCACACTCAGGACTGTTAACCTACCAGTACCGAGGGGAGCTTGGACCGAACAGTAGTGACAGGCACCAGGGTCTTACCTAACCCTGGTGGAAGCATAGTCGGACGAGCCTCGTTGCGCGGGAACTTAGGACGTCAGGCTCGAGCAATCACCCACCAGCCCCCTAAGTTGATCGACCGGTAACTCACACCCTCAACGCTCCCACACAGACCTAGCTGCATTTTAAGGCGAGGTACTTGTCATCGAGACACCTATCATCATCAGTAGGCGGCCACCAGACCAATCAGTGACTCGTGCCCTAAACTCTCCCACCACAGACCGTAGCTGTGTATTTGAGGCAGGGTACTTGTCATCGAGACGCCTATCATCATTATTAGTTGATCATAAACCCCCCCCCCCCCCGGCCCAAGCCCAGTGTTATTATAGTTTCTTGTGTATGCTATGCCTTGTATGCATGCCTTATCGTTTTTCTTTTTTTTCAATCATTGTAGACACGGCTCCCACCATGGGTCATCTGTGAAGTGAATGCTGGTGATAGGTGCGTGTATCAGCCCTTACCAGTCTACGTGATGTTATGTGTAATAGACCGTCTATTGTAAATGTGCCGGTAGGTAGTATCTGGGGTAGTGTTCATGTCTGAGATATGTGACGGCGAGTCGGCGACAGGCCTATCTAGATACGGCCCTCCCAAAGTCGGATGCCGGACCCGAACCTGCGACCCACAACATGCATCTGAATGGTTCTACCATATGCACTACCATTAGAAATGAACGTAATGGGTAAGCTACCTAGACTAGGAGATCTGAACAATCGTAGCCAAAAACAGCAAGCAACCAACATGAAGTCTAGACCTGCATACAACCCCGTGGACTAACCCTTGGGTGGTGTGCAGGCAGTGTCTGTAATAGCTTACCATGCGCCAGCCCATCGGGGTGTGTGTCCAGTCGTGCACCATTCTGTGGAGTTTTTAACCCACAACCTCATACCACCATGCGCATTTCCAACCGGGGTTCTAACCACTGAGCCACATCATCTCCACACTGAACACACACATACTCTTGGAGTCGTTAACGCGAACATGGTCGAACATGAACACAGCATAATCACTACCTTAGCCCTCCCCAACCACATCGACAAACAAACTGTGAGCTGCACACGCATGCCCTCACGGTAAATTGCCGAAGTGGATCGTGATTGAGCAGGTGGGCCAGGAGCCAAGAAGGTTGGGAAATGGTGCACGGATCATCTTCGGGGAAGGGACGAAGATTGCCAAGAAGTGTTGCAAATGACCTTGGGGTTGCCGATAACCTTGGGGGCCAGAAAGGTTGCCAAGAAGGGTTGCATATAACCTTGGGTGTCAAAAAAGGCTGGAAAAAGTTTGGCGGGGAAAGAGGTGAAATGGTGGAGGGTTGCAAATAACCTTGGAAGGGTTAGGGAGGAGGCACTCAGAATGGTGGACAAATGTTTTGAGGTTGGAGGAGGAGGGGGCTGAGGGGGTGGGGGAGGGCAGAGGAGTGACTGAAACTGCGCGAGGTGAACGATGCCGCGCGGGGCAAAGAGGTCGCGCGGAGACAAACTGCAGGGAGGAGACTGCATGGAGCTGGTGGAACAGGTAGCGCGTCATAACGCGCAGCCACGTGCAGATCCGCGCGGGCACTCGCGGGCGAGACGAGAGAGAGAGAGAGAGAGAGAGAGAGAGAGAGAGAGAGAGATTTCGAACTGAGAGGATAGGCCGGTTCTACAAGGCAGTGTGGTGGTCTCGACGGATGCTGACGCAGTGTGGTATCTGCACAGCTCTAGATGTCAAAGAGAAGAGATTCAACTAGGCGCTGGTAATCGGCGGAAGTAACTACGACTGTCCGGAGGTAGCCAATGCCTCGTTATCTAATTACTGGCGCGTCTGAGCGGACAAGCGAGATTCCTACCGTCCCTATCTAAGGATGTCGACGCAGCGTGATTTCTGCTCAGTGCTCTGAATGTCTAAGTGAAGAGATTCAACCAAGCATGGGTAAACGACGAAGAAGTACTACGGCTCTCATGATCCAGACATATGCCTTATCATCTAAGTATTGTCGTACACGTGCGAGTGCGAGACCGTGAGCGGGAGTAAGTTTCGTAAAGATGGCTCCTTGGGTTGCAGAAGTGTCAGGCGAAGGAGTCGCGCGTAGCGCGAACACGGTGGCAAGCTCGCGAGTTAAATTGCAGTAGTCTGCGTGAGTAAGTTGGCTCGACTCCGGAAAGTGGATCTCTCGAGGGCCAGTGGGAACAGAGCTGAAAAAGGATACGAGACCTGACTAAACCAAATCAGATCAGACCAGAACAGGACCATATGGGGCCCCAACAGATCAGACGAGATCGTACCTAGACCGGATCAGATCCGGACCAGATCAGCCCTGAACAGATCAGACTATACCCGGATCAGGCCGGACTACATCAGACCAGATCCGGACAAGATTAGCCCTGAACAGATCAGACTACACCCGGACCGGATCAGACCGGACTACATATCATCTATCTATTAGAATATCATCTATTTATTATATATAGTTTAAAAGTTCATTTCCGCAATCTGTACTTTCTCAAAATGTTTTTTCTTAAGCACTAAAAAGATCTGAGCTAAAATCACAGAAAAAAAAAAAAAGAATCAATCCTTTTTTTAAAGGATTTTGAAGAACAATTTTCGTATTTGCTTGTCCAAATCCACCCACATTTGGATTATTTGTTAGAGGCTGATCTACTTTAACA